CCGCTTCGCTGGAGACGAGCCCCGAGCCCCGGTGCATGATGGGAGGCGGCGGCGGGAGGAGGGAGGGGGGGTGTGGAGGGAGGCTGTGATTGGTCAGAGCCGAGGGGGGGGGGGGGGGGGGTCACGAGGGCCGAGACCAAAACACGACGAGACGAGAGGAAAAAAAAGAGTCAGCGAAAAAGAATCATCGTTTATTTAGTGTGAAAATATTCAATTAAAATAAAATCAGGTGGTTTGAAAAGGTGGTTTCTTCTCTTTTTCTCTTTCTCACTCTTTTTCTCTCTCCTCATCACTTCTTCCTCTTCTCCTTCTCTCCTGCACCTGCACTTGGATCCAGACTCTCCAGGTTTTACTCCCCAGATTTAGAAAAAAGACTTTTTAAAGACATTTTTAAGACCATTTAAATGAAAATTAAGACCAACATCGCTCCCATTATGAGGGCGAAAAACAACAGATCCAATTCTAATAATAAAGACCAACAACTACTGAACTACACCTAGAATCTGAGTCACTGTGGATTAAACCGACACTTCCCCATGAAAACATCCAGCATCTTCCTTCACTCTGATCATTTACTCACTGTCGCCGGTGACAGAAACCAAAGTTTTGTTTGTACATTCTCCAAATGAGACGTTTATTCATGTTAGGAGATTTCTGTTTTTTTTCTCCCTCCGTTTAACATCACACTGCAGCTCAGTTGAGTTTACAAACAAACAGACTAATGACATTTCAGACCTTTGTGAAAAAAATAAGACTGAAACAACATAATTTAAGACTTTTTAAACCTCTCAGGCTCAAATTAATTTTTAGTATCAGGAAAAATCTGATATTTGGGGAAGATTATAATATGAGGTAGTAATATACAATTCTGACTTTCTTATCCTTTGTAAACAAAAAAACTTCTGGCCGTTTGCGTGGAGTCGTTCTTGCATGGACGGGAGAAAAGTAAAAAAAGCTCATATAATACGGATGTGGAGTAAGTAGGTAATTGGAATTTAGCTGTTGCAAATCTGAAACGCCTGAATGGAGACGGTTAAGGCCTTAATTTAAGACCTTTTTAAGGCCTTAATTTAAGACCTTTTTAAGCTGCTCTGTGATAAAAAACGAGCAGTAGTTTTGTTTACGTTATAAACTGCGCTGAAGTTCACTACAGGATCAGACAGAGACAGTTTAAAGCAGCGTCTCAGTGTCGTGCACGTGGATCTGTGGCTGTGCACGAGTGTAAACAAACACACACGAGTGACGGGAGTCTGGTGGTGCGTTCAGGGACGGTACGACTTATTACGCCACAGGTAAATATTGATGCAGTCAAAAGAAACAGAAAAACGCACAGCGCACTCAGGTCGCCGATGTCCAAAAGCTTTTTTATTAACAAAATAACGTTTCAGCAAAAAAAGGTTTCATCACATATGTTTCTTGTCTTGGACCAGCAGTGCCACACGAGGACATTTATCTGTAAACTGGACATAATATAGAGTCTGAGCTTTATATTCAATTACAGGTGTTTTTGTTTTGTTTTGTTGTTTTTTGGGTTTTTTTTTTTTGCTTTTAAAACTCAAAAATCCCTCAAAAACCAAACATTCTAACTGTGAGTGGGGTCGCCTCTCCACAGATCTGACCTGGAACTTGGTCTGGTTTGATCTTCTTGGAAAGTTTTAAAGTCAGACAAAGCAATAACATCTCCATGGAGAAAAGTGTTTGAGTCCAGTGCCTCGTCTGTTTCTCCTCAGAGTCTGTTGTGTCTCGTTTCTGCTGCAGTTCCGCTCTGTACCTGCAGGCGGCGCTCAGGAGCTCACAGGTAAATGGACGACGAGAGTCTGAGCTCCTACTCCACTCACAGAAGAAAAACTCTCTCACTTTTCACTCATGACTCAGGTTTGGTTTGTGAGTGAAAGAGCCGAGAGAATCAACCGGAAAATTAAACCGTGAAGAGAAAAAAAAAGAGCTTCAACGCCGGAAAAGTGACAGAGTGCAGCTTTAAAGCGTCCGTACAAACCCTGCGACGAGCCGTTAGTGCAGGAAACACGACTGACCCGCTCTACGTGACGCTGGTGAAAAACTCTTCCCCCTGAGGCTCGTTTCCCTCCACGATCAATAAAGTCTGAGTCCAGTTTTTTCCAGAGTCCGAGTCGATAGAAGCGCAGCGCCCCCTGTGGTGACGAGCGGAACAATCAATGAAACGCCAACGCACCGACAAGAACGAACGAATGAACGAACGAGGGTTTAATATTTGTGTAAAAAAGAAAGTAACGACTACGAAAGATTCAACTGGTGAGAAACACAAACCTGGACTATAAACCGAGACAAAACCAGAACCAAACCTGGACTAAAACAATAATGAGATGAGATAAACTTTATTGTCCCAAAAGGAAGTTTATCTTTAACTTTATCTTTATGTTTGCCCTGATGAAGCCGAAGGGCCAAAACGCGTTGGCGTATTTTAACTTTATCTGCCATGTGGTATTAAAGGCTTTTAATTATTTTGTACTTTTTGAGAGCCTCAGTTTTTTTCCCACTTTGTATTTGAGATGCTCCCTACACTGAAGACACCAACAGGACAATTCTTCACATTTTTTGCATATCCAAGTAGCACTCCTGCCTCCAAAGCCTTAAAAACATTTAATATTTACCTCCTTCTTGTTTGGAAATACAACAATTTAAATCCGATATCTGAGCTTCAAATCACGTTGATGATTTAATAATAAAATTATAATAATAAAAAAAAAAATTTCACGAGACGAAGCAAACCACGAGATCGAGACAAGACAAGATTTTGACATAATTTGTAAAAAATAGAGCCCGACCGATATATCGGTTGGCCGATATTATCGGCTGATATGGGCAACTTTAGGCATATCGGTTATCGGCCGATATACTTGCTGATAGGGGCCGATATTTCACGTGGGCATGTGATACGTCGTTATAAATCTTAGACTCTCTACATTCTGTTCATTTAATCCAATTTACAGACAGATAAATGTCCTAATATGTGGCTCCACATCAGTATTTATCTACGGAGTCATTTGTCTGTGTGTGTCTGTACTGTCCCTGAACACACCACAGAGTCACGTACTGTCCCTGAACACACCACAGAGTCGCGTCACTCACGTGTGTTTGTTTACACCTGCAGACACAGATCCAAACACTGAGATTATTTTCTTTTTACGGACAATCGGTTTGAGTCTGGATTAAAAGGACATTTATTAGTGCAGATTTGTGATGTGGGAGGAGCCTGTGTGATGTGGGAGGAGCCTGTGTGATGTGGGAGGAGCCTGTATGAGCGGTGAGTGTTGGAAATATGTCGACTCTGAAGCTAGTTTTTGTCATTTGTTATGGGTTAGCTGCTGTAGCTCCCGCACATAAACAGACTGTTTTCTATTGGTTTGTTCTAAAGTGATTATATTGTTCGTATATTTGCTACTGGACCTGCACTGATATGTAAATGAGCTGTGAACAGACGTGTGAATTATGACATTTGCACATATAATTAATTACCGCGGCGCGCACGTATTTACGGCTAAAGGCTAATAGCGCTAGTTTCTTTACTAGTTATGGGTCGGTCGCGAACGAAATGACTCTTAGAACCGGCTCTTTGAAGGGAACGACGGGAGCCTGATCCTTATTGGGAGCCGTGTTTTCTCTTTTTCTCACTTTTTTTCTCTTCACGCCGCGTGCAGATTCGTGGTAGTTTGACAGCGGCTGAAAACGAAACTTTGAGAAATTTGCGTGTACGTAGGATTAAAAAAAAAAAAAAAAAAAAAAACGAGCATATTTGACTGTAGTTTAGCATAAAATAAATAAGTCCCGGTTTAGTCCTTTTTCAGTCCTGGTTTAGACCTGGTTCAGTCCTGATTCAGTCCTGCTTTAGACGTGCTTTAGTCCTGCTTGCAACAAAACAATCTGAAGAGCCACTTGGGAGCCAAAAGAACCAGCAGCTTTTAGTGAGCCGAGCCAAAAGAGCCGGTTCTCTAAAAAGAACTGGAATAAACATCACTAGTGTCTAGAATGTGATGCAAAAATGCCATTAAGCCAACCTACTGTCTGTAAATATGATGTAAAGAGGCAGAATAACAATAAATGTTTCCTAAATAAACCCAATTTAAAATCCACCAGAGCCAAACCTAAGTTTTTTAAACAATTCAACATTTACAGTGAATTTTTACATCACTAAATATATCGGTGATTATATCGGCAGCTCCAACTCCCATTATATCGGTTTCATATCGGCCACAGCAAAATCCATATCGGTCGGGCTCTAGTAAAAAATAAGTAGTGCAATCCATTTTCACTATTTTGATTTATTTTATGTCTTAACTTTCACTGTGGTCCTGTTTTTTTGAACTACAGCTTCTCAAATTGTACTTAACTCTTTTTTTTTTATCCAAGCCAAAGGTAAATTTAGAGGGAAAAAAATCTCAGGAGATTATTTTTCTCTTGTGTGCAGGAGCTTGAAGTAATTTAGTCTCATTTATAATAATTACCCGCTCTGCTTCTGTATAAAAAACTGTACTGACTCAGTGGATGAATGGATGGATGAATAGATGGAGGCTGGAGGCCACAGTTCCATTCACACAGTTCATACGATCGTCCCAGATCCACAGATAAAGCGTCAGTCAGAGCAGCAGCAGCAGCAGCAGCAGCAGCAGCAGCAGCAGCAGCAGCAGCAGCAGTTTGGCCCTCGGGCTCTGGACACGAGCTCAGCGAGGGACAGTGGAGCTCAGATGAAAAGGCTCCCAGACACAGTGAGGTTATATAATGGATCAGTGTGTGGAGACACTGACGTAAGAGTCACACTGAGGCCTTAAAGAGTCCAGCTTTTTATTTTCTATTTTCTGATCCATGTTCTAATGATGTCACCTCCTCAAAAACACACAGACGGATAATAAAGATTTACTCAAACGTGTGGGTTAGAGGGAAAAATAAAGTTTCAGATAAACTCGATTAGAACCAAAAGATGATTTAAGAAGAAATGTGGAAGAAAAAGGAGATGTTTTAGAGGAGCTCAAACTGCATGAAGTTGTGAAGCTGCTGCAGAAGATTTGATTTTTGAGACTCAAATATTTTGTCTAGAGATGGAACCAAAGAAAAAAGGACCACCCCAAATTGTGTGTATGAAATAAAACACGTCTCTAAAGCTTAAAACGCTCTGTTCCACCTTGTGATGTCATGAAGTGGTAGTTTTCACAGCTCCTTTCACCTTTAAGTTACGTTTACAGACACGTCGTTTCCCCATTCGCACAGTAACAAGAAACCGCCTCAAACACTCGTCACATGACCAGACTGAGTCACACGACTTCGAGTCGAGGAAGATTCAAGAATAAAAAGAATCTTTTTATGGACCAACGACGAGGTTCAGTTTGTCTCTGGTTTGTTTAAACTGTTTTCCACAACAGAGTCACAAACCCAGAGAATCAGAACTAGTGTGACACAGTGACACAGTGACACACAACACCACTCACATACACACTAGTGTGAACAACACTGTACACACAACAACACCACTCACATACACACTAGTGTGAACAACACTGTACACACAACACCACTCACATACACACTAGTGTGAACAACACTGTACACACAACAACACCACTCACATACACACTAGTGTGAACGAACACTGTACACACAACAACACCACTCACATACACACTAGTGTGAACGGGGCTGTAGAGTTTGGTGATGATCCAGTTGATTCTAGTGAAGGTTTGTGGAGTTTAAAAACACGGTGGAGGAACAGAGTGTTTTCAGTTTGAGAGAAAATCTCAATATGTGAACGTGGAAAATAAAACATTTAAGTTTCACACTTTAAACCGTCCTCATGTCAAAGTGCCACACAGTGAGAGACAGGTGCGACCCTGTCATCTCTGTGCAGATCAGCACATCAGTCTGACTCCTGAGCGTCTGCGTCCGTCTGTGTCCGTCTGCGTCTGTGTCCGTCTGTTTGTTTGTTTGTCTGTGTCCGTCTGCGTCTGTGTCTGTCCGTCTGTTTGTTTGTTTGTGTCCGTCTGTTTGTTTGTTTGTGTCCGTCTGTTTGTGTCTGTCGTCTGTGTCCGTCTGTTTGTTTGTCTGTGTCCGTCTGTGGTGCGTTCACTGACCTCTGCGTGACCTCCGGCGTTCAGCAGTTTGTTGCAGCGGTCGCATTTTAAACAGAGTTTGTGCCAGTCCTTCCCCAGAGACGAAACTTTCTCGGCTGAAAAACACAAAACACAAGTTCAGATTTAAGTTTACGGCTGTTTGTGTTTGTGAGTTAAACATGTGAATAAAACAAAAAAAACACAACTGCAGGTTTGTTTGTGACGAGGAAACGACATCAGAACAGATCCGTTTAAAGCTGCCATCTGTACTTTTACGTTGGGGGGTCCACCAGTCTCATCACAGAGGGCAGCTTTAAACCTTCACACGATACAGGCCTATTGATCTGTGTGTCATAAGATCATTTGTTTTTCAAAATAAAACCAAAAAATAACGAAAAAAAAAAAAAACTATTTTCTTCATTATTTGTTTCCAAAACCAAAATGAAAAAACAGAAAATGATTTGTTTTTTCAGTTTTTTGATTTTGTGTTTAAAAATGAAAAAGGTCTGGAAAACCATCTGGACTAAACCAGGTCTAAACCCAGGACTAAACCAGGTCTAAAACCACTACTAAAACCAGGACTAAACTAGGACTGAACCAGGACTCTAAACCAGGTCTAGACCAGGTCTAAACCAGGACTAAACCAGGTCCAAACTAGGTCCAGGACCAGACCAGAACCAAACCAGGACTGAGACCGGGACCAAACCAAGACTGAAAACAGTTTACTCCTGGTTCAGTCCTGGTTCAGTCCTGGTTTAGTCCTGGTTTAGTCCTGGTTTAGTCCTGGTTTAGTCCTGTTTATTCCTGGTTTAGTCCTGGTTCAGTCCTGGTTTAGTTCTGGTTCAGTTCCTGGTTTAGTTCTGTTTTAGTCCTGGTGGTTCAGTCCTGGTTTAGTTTCTGGTTTAGTCCTGGTTTAGTCTGGTTCAGTCCTGGTTTAGTCCTGGTTTAGTCCTGGATTAGTCCTGTTTTAGTCCTGGTTCAGTCCTGGTTTAGTCCTGGTTTAGTTCTGTTTTAGTCCATTATCCGTTTTTTTCCATTTTTCATTTAAACACAAAATCAAAAACTGAAAAAACAAATAATTTTCCATTTTTTCATTTTGGTTTTGGAGACAATGAATTTTATTTTATTTTTTTTCTTATTTTTGCTTTTATTTTGAAAAACGAATGAACGAACGACCCACGGATCCAAACGGACTCATGGAAACATAAACCGGGACAAATCTGGGCTAAACCAGGATTAAATCATAAATGATAAACTCTCTTTTTTCACGGTCCTCGAAAACCAGACCCAAAAAACTCAAACCCGAAACAAATAACCCGACGTGTTTGACTCTGAAAGCCTCACTTCCTTTATTTGTTTTGATGCATTTAGGAACGTTTATTTGGGAAAAGGAAGTGCCAAAGTGAGAGGGACCCAGACTTCCTGTTTCCTGAGCCCTTGTAGATAAAACCAGGGTTTTCCTGACTCCGTTTGGACCATTGTACGAACCCGGGGCTTTATTGTTGGGCCCTTGGGTGCTGCTGGGGTGGGGTGGGGGGGTGGGGGGTGGGTGAGGGTCCGTTTGCTCGTCGGGGGGGAGGAGGAAACAGGGGGGGGGGGGGGGGTACAGTAAAAGATGTGCTCAATTTGTCTCGTTTTATTGGTTTTTGTCACGGATTCGGACGCCATTTTGAGGATCAGAGTCCTGGTTTAGACCTGGTTTTAGTCCTGGTTTAGTCCTGGTTTTAGTCCTGGTTTAGTCCTGGTTTAGACTTGGTTTAGACCTGGTTTTAGTCCTGATTAAATCCTATTTTAGTCCTAGATTAGTCTTGGTTTAAGTCTTGGTTTTAGTCCTGATTTAGTCCTGGTTTAGTCTTAGTTTAGTCCTGGTTTAGTCCTAGTTTAGTCCTGGTTTAGTCCTGGTTTAGTCCTGATTAAATCCTATTTTAGTCCTAGTTTAGTCTTAGTTTAGTCCTGGTTTTAGTCCTGGTTCAGACCTGGTTAAATCCTGGTTTAATCTTGATTTAGTCCTGATTTTTGTCCTGTTTAGTCCTGGTTTTAGTCCTGGTTTAGTCCTGGTTTAGTGCTGGTTTTAGTAGTGGTTTTAGTCCTGGTTTAGACCTGGTTTAGACCTGGTTTTAGTCCAGATTTTAGTTCTGGTTTAGACCTGGTTTAGTCCTGGTTTTAGTCCTGATTTCTTCCCGATTAAATCCTGTTTTAGTCCTATTTTTGTCTTGATTTTGTCCTGATTTTAGTCCTGGTTTAGAAACAGTTTTAGACCTGGTTTAGTCCTGATTTTAGTCTTGGTTTTAGTCCTGGTTTGAGGCGCACGTGAGAAAATCTTCAAACATCAACAGCGTAGCACCTGTCGACTTTCCTCCTGCACGTTTGACGCTGAGATCAGAAAAACTCTGATATTTTACAAACACAAGACAAAAAAAAAGTGAGGCTCCAAACTGTGAGCAGGAGTCAGAACGGAATATCAGAGTGGAGGTACGTTTTAGTATCAAGAACAAAAGTCTTATCAAATTGTTGAATTCTAAGTCAATTAAATCATCTGAAACCAAAATTAAACCGGTGACATCAGGTCGAGGTCGATTATTTTGGTCCAGTGTTTTTTTATTACAATAACAGAAAAAGACAAAGACAAAGGATTCAGGTTCTCCACGGACACGCCCCTCCTCTTCCTCTTCCTCCTCCTCCTCTCCCTGCCTCTTACATCATCCGTCGTTCCAGCGTGGCACAGACTGACCCCCCCGTCTGCCCCCGGACCCCCCCCCCCCCCCCACCCACTACCACCCACCCAACACCACAAATGCCCCCTCCATCTGCCCCCACACCCTCCTCCTCCTCCTCCTCCTCCATCGCTCATCTGGCCCAGAGACTCTCATCATCTCCCACAGAAACGACACAAACACACTTCTGTTCTGTTCTTCTGTTCTTCACTGGAGCGACGGAGCGATGACATCACCACCAGTGAGTCACGCAAAAAAACAAAAGATTCAAATATGAACGACGATTGTTCAGAGCGAAGACGAAGACGAAGACGAAGAAGAAGAAGAAGGTGACGACATTTGCAAATCATGTAAATAAATGTTTGTATTTCATCATATCTTGTGTTATTCCATCTTTGAACTGTTGATGAAGGGACAGGATTAAAAAAAAAAAAAGTATTTAAAATGATAAAAATGTTCTTGGAAGGACTGACATATTTTATAGAAATAGTTTCTTTCATTTTGAAGTAATATTAAAGTTTTCAGAAGAAAAAAGCAACAAATGATGTAAAATCCTGCACCTTCTACTTGTTTGTACAATTTTCCCTCCGTTACTTTTCCCTCCGTTACCATGAACTTTCTTAATAAAAAATCTCATGAGTCAAAAAGTCAGAGGTTTTTCAACCTAATCTTGTACCATATGGTAGAAAACTATATGAAGCAAATATTCAAACCAGTTTGTTAAGGATATGGAAGTGAGAACCAAGAGTTATCACTGTTTGGATTTATTGACCAAAAAGTGCTGCATATTTCATTCCCTCCGTTACCTGACATGAGTTTTTTTTTACATTTTTTGTCTTGAACTTGAAAGAATCTCACAGGTTTAACTTGACCCTGTTGGAGTGTAACTCTTTCCTACATTCTGATACTTTACTTATTTCAATAGTTCCTCTAGTTTCTGAATAAGAGACATTTGAATGTCAAAAATCTGACCCTGTTTCCTCCGTTAACACTTGACCAGACACATGTGCTGTAAATAGTTTCTCATAATTATTTCTTCACTTTAGAAAATCTCTCAAAAAGACGTAACTAACAGATAACAGCTGCCGGAATTATCTCTGCATTGTGTTATTAGTAAATCATTCTCTCATAGTTTATTAATGATTAATAAATGCTCAAATTTGTACTTAAATATAATGGTTGGTTCAAATGGTTAGTTCATGAGTAATTAAGTATGAAATAATTATGAGTAACTATTTACAGGTGAATTAAGTGCAAGTTCAGTGCTAATTAAGGCAGTAATTAAGTAGTTACTAAGCGTGAATCATTAATAATTAAGTCTTTGTTCATTATTAATTAAGTCTTTGTTCATTATTAATTAAGTCTTTGTTCATGCTTTATTAAGGCTAAATAAGGTGTAGTTAATATAAAGTGTTACCCATCTTTTTTCATGTTTAACAGGATTTTGCTTCGTCTGGAATGTTCCACTGTGCGGCATTAAACCTTTACTATCTTCACGGAGACCAAATTAGGCCAAGTTCCAGGTCAGATCTGTGGAGAGGCGACGCAGCTCACCATCACAATGTTTGTATTTCGAGGTGTTTTTGAGCCATAAATCCATCTGTGATTGAATAAATGTAAAGTCGAGCTGTTTAAAGTCACACTGCGGGACATTCCAGACAGAGCAATGACGTATCCATGGAAACAAGCAGGTGTTACGGAGTGCATCTTATTATCGCGCCGTTTTCATTTAGTTAAAAGCGTCTGTGATCGTGTCTCGTCCTGACTTCGATCCAAATATTGAGCAGTGGATTTATGAGGCTCGCAGACGTTTGTCTCCGAGAGAGACGAGTCAGCGTTCTGTGACCCTCACTGACGAACAGGCCTGTAACGATAATCAATAAATCGATTAATCGTACCATAACTTTTAACGAGCTCGATAACTTTTCCGGCTGCGATAAATTCTAGTTGCAGTTTGTTTGTTTTCCTCGCTCTCTCTCAAAGAAACTGAATGTCGCTTCTATCGCTCTGACTCCTCTCGTTTAACGTAATGACTAGGGGTGTGCAAAAATATCGGAATATCGATATATCGTATCGTTTAATGTGATGATACAATATGGATATCGTGGGCTACTGTATCGATATTTCACCAAGAGTATTTTTACGTGTGTTTTACTAAATTATTTTGTTACAGCTACAGTTTTGTTGCTTGTGGAGTGAAAGGAAACTCATTTATGTGACACATTTGACATTTTCACTGTTTTGATGATTAAAATGTTTGTGTTTCATATGAACTTTGCACAAGAAGAAGTGGTTTAACAAACATATTTTAGTATCACAGCCATGATTTACACTTTATTTTTTATTGAGTCTCCCTCACAGAGAAACAACATCCTGTGTCGCAGGTTCATACGAACACTTCA